TTTAGGGTTTAGGGTTTTGTGAAGTATCACAGTGGCTCTGTTACTTTTCAGGGCCCGGAGTGTCTTGATCTGCTCCTTGATAGATTTCAGGCTCTTTTTCTTTTAGGGTTTTAGGGTGTAGGGTTTTAGGGTTTAGGGTTTAGTGAAGTAACACATGTCCTCCAGCACTTGTCTCGTCGAGGCCAGCAAGCTTGCGCAGGATGAGGGCGATGCAGACAGTGCTTCTGCACGTTAATTCACGACATAGCCTCTATGTCGTCTTGCTCGTCTCGACCTGAACCGGGGTCCTCGATGTACCCGGCGATGTTATATCCTTTTCGTTGTTCATTTACGAGATAAGCAAACACAAGTATCCCTACTAATGACGAACACGCCCGCTTGCTGAGCCGCCAGATCCCTCGAGCAGGCCTGAACCCTGTACGAATTCATAAAAAGCCTAGAACCAAGGCCCCTTATCAACTTAAAGGCCTTGTACCATAAGAAGGGCCTTCGATAATCAAGAACCTGATCCCTCTGCCGTAAACCCGGCCCTAAACCCTAAACCCGGGGTCCTTGGATATCATGATGTCGTAGCCATAGAGCTCGAAGCCTTCAGTCATCAAGGTTTCAGAGGATGAACCTGGACCCTGAAGGACCTACATTTTTCGGGTTCCCTATTATGATTTCTTTCTACCCTAAACCCTAAACCCGAAACGATTCTATAAGTCCTTCAAAGAGGTAGGTTATTTGGGTTCAGGAAGGGCTTAAGTTTTGTCATTTGGGCTTCGAATTCGGGGTTGAGGATTTATAGTAGGGCTTTAATTGAGAGTATAGGGCTTCTACTTGGGCTCATTCTTGGGGTATATGGTTTAGGGTTTAGGGTTAAAGGTTGGGCTTTAATCAATTCAGGCCACTTCCAGCAATCCCAAGATGTTACGCCAGCCATAACCGCTTTAGACCCAGTGGAAGACCTTCACGGCAGGATCTGACGGTAAAGCCCTACATTAAAGGAAACTACAGGTG